GGGGGGGGTGGAGTATGAGGGGAAGCCCCTTTGTCGGGGAGCCCCCACCACTGTCATGGACGTTAGGAGTGTTTCGTCGGGGATAATCGAAAACATTGTAGAACTTTTGTCATATGTTGGACTGAATTGGATAAGCCTATATAAATTAATAGTTTGGACGCCAGTGAGATGCAAAAACACCATCAAGTCAAGATGAATATTTTCTCATTCAAACCCTCCTCCGGCTCTGGCCTACGACCCTCGGATGGCGTTACGCGCTAAACTATACAATATTCTTGCCCTGTCTGCCGGGGCGTTGCCCTGTGGTCAGGGAAATCCTAGCGCCGCCACTGATTTTTTTTTGTCAAGTGTAGAGAATAGGTATAAAATTAATCAATTGTATACCTCCAAGGTGATACCCAATGAATAATAGTAAATCACAAATGCACAGTCCAAAGACTTTTTACTGTACAGTTAAAAGTTCTTGGTTTGTTCACTGTTTATGAATAATAAGGTAAGTAAAGGTAAGGACAATTGTATTGTATGAAAGTGATCTCTGTCTAGGACACCATCATAGAGATTGCCGAAACCTGTTAAATTTGTGTAAGGTAATGAAGGGCGGATAGAGCTGGAACCTTTACATTCATTAGTGCATTGTTGTTGCTGCTGTCTTCCTTTCATCTTAATGCTAGCATAGCAGACAAATCAACTGGTTCTTCGTAGAGCTTACATAAAATCTTAATCCCTAATTTAAGTTCTATTTTTTATCAACAATAAACCAACCATTGGATGGTGGGCTTTAAGAAGATCAACATACATCAGTATTTCCTTATCCATTTATATATTTCTAGACGAAATTGACTTATTAGGGAGCTTTTGATTGCACGACGACGGTAGAACGTAATGATGTCAGTAAAAGTCATCTGCGCATGCGAGAACGTTAAGGTCACCTCGTCGAGTAGATTCTGAAACGCAATTTAGCCAAATCTACGTATTCAGAGAACGTAGGACGCCAGGTAGGACGGTCACGGGTGAGTGATTCCGTTCTAGCGTCTCGTCGTCGCACAAATCGAAAGATCCCCAATATGTCAACACTGGACCTCCACTCGACTCGCCCCTTTACCTTTACCTACCTGTAATTTTTTTTTTTTTTAACGATTTCGATGATGATGTAGGAGGAACACCGATTGAATCACCATTCATGAGATAATCTATGATTGATAATGAATTGTTTAAACCTATTGGTTCGCATGTGTGGGGATGGACAATTCTGTATTATGTCTAATTAGGTTGTATTCGTGTTCAATTGGTGGGGTGGGGTGGGGAGAAGGTGGTTCAGTCGGTGCTGATTGGATTTTAGTTTAGTAAAGTACCTCCTACTCCTGTCTAGCAGTCGGTCCTGTAGGCAAGGCAGGCATATAGATAAATCTGTGCATCTCCATAGGCGATGTAGCATGCAGCCTTTAATCTCAGTTTTGGAGTTCTGTATACCAAAGAGGGCATGCATACCCTGTTACAGATCTTACAATAGCACAACAGAAACAGATTTTAGGGCTTGTAATAATTCTAATCCAGTCCAACTGAGTTGCTTTAAATTCTTGTGTTACATTTTTTTACTATAGGCCTTTGCCAAGATAAATTATCTTCAATTATCACATCAAAGAGTTTGGCTGGGTTAACCTTACGATTTCAACATTTTTGATCATAACAAGAGCTGAAAGGTTACTTTTAAATCGTTTGCAACTGATTTCTATTGTCTTCATATTTGGTCCTTAGTCCAGCTTTAAAACCTTAATCCATACACTAAGTTCTATTTGTTACCTACAATAAATCAACCATTACGTAAAATTAATTATCTTGCTAACATTGGATTTTGATACTTGTTTAAGTTCAGTGACTAAGACAGCTGGGGTCAGAGGAGAAATTCCCTTCCCATTGGACACGGGCCGCCTCGACCCTATTCAAGTGAACTGTCTGATCCTAGAGTACAGGGGCTGGGTGAGGAATAGTGTCACTGGACGGGCCAGAGTGGTGGTTAAAAACAAATTAATTGGCGATTGAGTGTACAGATTGAGAGGCTTATGTGTCTGACCAAGGGAATTGAATTTCCTTTGTGTAATATTTAAGAAGATTGTGACAAGAATACAGAATCAACAGCGTCTCTATTCTAGGCTATAGACAATTTGGTCCTTCGTCCAGCTTACATAAAAACCTTAATCCATACATTAAGTTCTATTACATATCAACGATCACACGTCCAACCTACGACGGTGTGATTTAAGAAGATCGTAAACAAATTTATAAATAAGTCTTATACACTGCGTTTTATTGTTGCAATTTCATCGCTATGGCAATATTTGTGGAAAATTTAATGATGTAGAAATTGTATTTGCCGTTTTTATTGATTTTTTCATTGTACTTATAACTTTTATCTTTATACATATATTAATTGGTTTTAATGCACAGTGCTTTGATTTTTTTTTAACAGCGCTATATAAATGCTTCTTGATAAAATAATAATAATAATAATAATAATAATAATAATAATAATAATAATAATAATAATAATAATAATAATAATAATAATAATAATAATAATAATATACATCACTAACCTATTATCCCTTTATAGGCTATATAGTTCTAGACGAAACTGACTTATTATTATTAAGCATTTCGGCCTATATAGCGCCTTTACAAAAAAAACCCCCAAAAAACAAAAAACAAAAAACAAACATCAAGGCATACATTAAAACCCATTATTACTTGCATTTAAATGTGTTCGCGATCTTCTTAAATGACACCGTTGCATGGTTGGTTTATTGGGCCTAGGTTAGAAATAGAACTTAAAGTATGGATGACGGTTTAATGTAAATTGGACAAAGGACCAAGTGATTTGTCTACTATGCTAGCGTAGAGATGATGTTACCTTTGATTTTTAATTCCTTTTATTTATACGCCAATGGTCTTTAATCCTTAGTTTCAGACGAGATTATCTAAATTCTTGTCGCAATCTTCTTACTTTAGAAATTATTATTATTATTATTATTATTATTACTAATATTATTAATAATAAAAAAAATAGTAATACTAATAAAATAATAATAATAATAATAATAATAATAATAATGATACATTTAAACATACAATTAATGTGAATTTTCTACATTTTTGTTTTGACGAGTGTATTGTAAAATTACCATTCACCACTTTTAAGAAAATATTTAAACATATCTTAATTATGCTGATGATTCGGGCACAATTTCCGACGAGGGCGGTTGTTAATTAATTCAGCAGTAATTCTGTGTTTCTAGATTTGTCTACAGTACATTAAGCTGTCGTCAAGGGTAACCAATCACCTTGGCTGTTTTGTATGGTGATTATTTAAATACTGTAGTATAAAAGCCGCCATGCAAAGCCATAGTTAGTTCATTCTTTGCTTTGATCTTGTCCGGTGAATTTCGGAGTTCATCGCGTGTCTTAAAAATTCTTTTCGAATTCCAATATTTTGGTAAGTATTATTTTAACATTACGAAAAAGAATAATGTAGTAATATTAAGAAAAAGAATAATGTAGTAACTAGCCTTCCGTGGGTGGGCATAAAATCGGTGGGAAGGCTAAAGTGAATTTTTCATTTAACACGGAGGGCTGCACCCAACTTTGATCTTTCCAGTGTGCTTCCAAAAACCTCCCAATCGCTGCTTTTACACCACTTTATTCTCGGTTTTAATACGATCGGTGTCGAGCCGTTAAAAAAAAGCCTTTTCTAGTGTTGATATGACTGGCGGCGAGCACACAGGATTTTTAATTCATTTTCGCGGACCGCAAGATAATCGCTGTCAAGTCGCACTTTGCCCACCCGTGCCTTCTTTTGAATGCGTTTTCAACTCAATACTTAATTTCAGATTTGCAAAGATGGCAGAATCCAAAAATTTCCTCACAAAATTTCACTTGGAAGCTGGGATCAGCAAGGAGGACTTTCAAAAAGTAAGGTTTAGCTTAGCAATCTTGATTCATCAGCCAGTCGGGCCACTACTAGCATAATGACCTCCCTAACTTCATTCATGATACAATATCTGTTATTATAGCTGATATCGAGCACATTACATTGATATTTCCGACATTTGTATTCAACAGTGCCCAAATTTTTCATTATCTATAGATATGGAACAATTATGATACTGATAATAACGGCTGCATTGAAAAAAAGGAGTTGGAGGTAAGAGCACTAATTATGGAACTCAGATTTTGGACATTTCAGATTTCAGTTCTAGTTGCCTAAATTCTAGGATGAAGGGGGTTCAAAACGGTGAAAGATGAGTGGATTCAGGATCCTAATATTTGTAAGATTACGGATGATTATCATTAAGTTCTTTCCAACACATAACATTTTGTTATAGATTTTCCCATATATGGGCATGATATGACATCATCATGCTCTTATATGGTTGTCGCCATGCTTATTTACTCAAATATGATAGCTCAGGAATAAGAAAAAAATGAGATACCTCTGTTGTATTGCTTGCATATACCCAGTGGCGTATCTAGGGGTGGGGATTTTGCACGTAGTTAAAAATAGCTTAAAATGCTACTTCCCCACTCCTATCAATCCTCCATCGTGACCTTCGCGCTCTCCATCAGCCCCCCCCCCCATTCCAAGACCTCTACATACGCCACTGCATACCTCCAAATAGATCCTTGCCAAATATTTCTGTCACGAATGTTAACTAATCGGCAAAATAACAAATTCACTGTCTCCTTACTACAGAAACTTAGTAAAGATATACTGAAGGACACGCCATCTGACATGTCGGAAAAATATATGAAGCAACTAGTGAGTAGGGCTATTGTATTTTATATAGTTTATAAAGGCTATACAAGTAACGAGCATTTGATAATGCTAAGACACTATACATATATTATATATGTATATATATGTGTGTATATGTGAATATATATGTGTATGTATATATACACTGTTAAATATGTAAATCATTAAATATAAATATATAAATATATAAAAAATATGTGAATATATATATATATTGCGCTTTCCTCAACCTTCAGATGACTTTTTTCGATGTTACTGGCGATGGAAAATTGAATGTCGCCGAAATGCTCAAGTAAGCAAGTTTGTTATTCTTAATTAAATAGTTAGGCCTAATTAACAGTAAGACATACCACTGGAAAATAGACTAGGCATTTTTAAAATCCTTAATTCATGGTGCGCTGTAATTTTAAATTACAAACGCTTTAAAATCATGTTTACGCGAATACAATATTCTTTCATTCATTTTATAGAACCTTCCAGGTGAAAGAGGATGTTGCAGCGTAAGTACAAGTTTTAGAAATTGAGGATTTTATTTTAGAATAAAGCTTCAACGATAAAAAAAACAATAAATAAGTATACAATAACAAAATATTTTAACAATCAAATCAGATGACGTCATAATCATGGACAAATGATAAAATCGTTGCTACTACGACGATTTTAATGTTTCCATGATATGACGTCATCTGATTGATTTGTCAAAATATGTTATCGCATAACTGATAAATCGTTATCGAATCGTACTAGTGTAAAAACTTCTCTTATTTCTTTTGTTTTCTATATGAAAAATTGCTTTCAGCATTTTTTATCGTTATTGTTGAAGTGTAAACAGGCCTTAATCATGTAAAATTACAATGCGTCCTGTTTTCTGTGCCCTTTTTTCATTTTGAAGGAATAGTACGTCGCGTTTATACCTATACCTATATTACCTATCGTACTTTAGTTCGTTTTGGAATCTCCGATGAGGGCAGTATAATAGAAGCAGTTGAGTATATTGGCCATATTAACAAAAGCCCAGCCGAGTGTTGCTAGAGCTCCTCATCGGAGCTATGTTATGTCACACGAGTCTAAATTCGAAACTATTAATTCTTTATCCTAAACTCTATAAATGCCTTTTCAGAAGTAATACAGCTTGGAATACATTCCTAGGACAATTCCGCTCAGAAACTGGAATAAGTACTGCAGATTTCATGAAAGTAAGTTTTTTCAGGGTTTTTTTTTTTTTAACTGTGTCGACTCTAAAGAATTACTTCGTAGAGTATATATCTGCATGCGTAATTCTACGTTTTTGACAGATGGCCAATGGCTGATGGTAATTTTGACCTAATCTCTGTAGTATGCTCTTGTCCGTCAGGAGCCTATTTTTTCTTCATATTGAATATAGGTATATTTAAGTACCCAATAAAGTAATGTTTTGTTTGTTTCTAGATATGGATGAAGTACGACACGGATAAAAATGGCTACATTGAAAAAGGAGAGCTCCACGTTAGCAAAACTGAATTGCATATATAATTGTTTCGCTATTATTATTGCATTGTGACATGGACCTACTCATACTAGACCTACTTCGATGGCAATTGTTATCGTTTATTAGCTTAATATAATACAAGTGGACAATATGGGTACAGCATAGTTTTTCTTTTACTTAGGGTTTTCTAAAGGATTTGATGAAAGAAAAGGAAGCTGGTGGAACTCTCGAAGAATACAAAGCTTGCATTGTAAGTATACTTTCTCATTCGAGATAGGATTATAAGCATAACTTTCATTTGTTCAAACATGTTCGTTTTACAAAATTACAAACGTTTGCTCCATTACCTAATCTAGCTGCAGAGATTCGACTGGAATATGGATGGAAAATTGGACCTAAAAGAAATGTCCCGGTATGTCAATTTATTTTTATATTGTATTGATTTTAGATTGTATTAAATCTAAATATATGCGAAGACCTCAACGTCAATCTTGATGGGATGGAGTTGATCATGCGACATCAAATTCTCAAATCTTCATACCTATGCCCGGCGGAAACGCTTCAGTAGAGCAGTTGTGCAATAGAGCGTTTGATTTTAACCCATTAAATATCTTTATAATGAACAATGTTACCCTGATTGGATTTTTCGGACTTTCAGTATTTGTATCTGTTCCTGAAAGATTCCGTTAAATATTAAATTAAAATTACTTCTCTGTTCATTATAAGTTTGTCTAAAGATCGATTGGTTCGACTAATAAAGCTAAGGCAACGTAAAACTGAAACTGATTTTGGATTGAATTTTCGAATAGTTAACCCTAATATGACGGTTTATTATAATCCCCAATCATTCCTTAATTAGCATCTGTTAAAATTAGAATTATCGAGTTTTATCCAATATTTGGAAATTCAAGTTGAAATACTAAACTCTTTTTGTAGGAAATTATGTTTGGTATTTATAAATGTATTGGCTTCAAGTTCTGCGCATTGAGAGAAGGTGGTCTCCATTTCGCCATGTTCAATTTTGTGGTAAACTAAGCCTGCTGAGAATTTGTGGTGGCGGGGAACACATCAGACTTAAGGCATTGCAGCAAACGCGCTGCAGCAGCTTTGATCTTGCCTCATTTGCATAGCGCTGCGTGCGCGTAGCTTTTTCGAGTGATCTCAATATATAGATATATATCTAGATATTATCATTTGCAATATATTTCTCTTATATAGACTGTGCCCAGTGGAAGAAAATTACATAGAAAAATTAAAGGTAATATTTAAAAAATATATTATAATATTATTGTTATACGAATTTACCAATTACCAAGCTGCTTGCACTGTTAGGAATTTGGGTACAATATAATTCTTGAAGGCCTGCAACATGATTTAACGCAGTTCTTTGAGCGCTTCCAGTGATTATTCCTAGTGTACTGGCATCGTTATGCTCGTGCATTGTGGCTGCTCTAGTCCACCTGAGCTCGGAACAATTCTCGACCAGGACCAATTTAATTTATGCTGCTATTTTTTGTATTTCAAATGTCTAATGTTTACAAATGCAGATATATCTGCATGATAGATGTTTCTTTTTGCCCCTCAAGTCTGCAGGATCTTTTTCCAAGGCGAACTTCGATAAAATATTTCAACACTATGATCGGGTAAGCTATAAAATTATGTTAAATTTACATATACTGTAGTATTGCAATAGAGAATAACTTTAAAATATATAATTATGGGGTTTTTAATACGAATATTCAGTTTTTCATTTTCATTTTGTCATTGTTAGGATAACAATGGATCAGTTGATGGCACTGCATTACAGGGATTCTTGAAAGATTTATTGGAAGCATCGGGCTTTGTAAGTGGATTCATATAGGCCTATCCTAATAGCAAAAGTATAGGGGAAATGTATTGGCATTTACAGACTGCGTATTTTTATCATTTTTAGTTATAATACAAGCTTTGAAATGCTCCAAAAATGCTCCAATTCAATTGTGTACTAAAAATGATTATCGTTGTTTTCAGGGCGGTAATATGGAACAAATTGAGTCATATGCGGTTGCACTGAAAGACACGTTTGATGAGAACAATGACGGCAAGTTCCAGAAGGACGAACTTATGATGGTACTTTCCATCTTTGCCTAGTAGTACGGCCTATACATTACGACCTACATAAGGATCTACACCGATTAATGAAACCGCTTATGAATTATTAACTATTACTATTACGGTACATAGTCGAACGTTTATTCATGAATAAAAGAGCAATAATGACAATTTACCAGTCTCTCAAACGGAGTATTGTTATTACTGTTGTTGTTGTTGTTGTAGTTATTGTGAAAGACATGCAGATGATGCGGATTTGTCATGATGACGACAATAATTATAGGGAGTTTTTGCAAGCTTACGAAAACGATATCGAATACGGTTACGTCATCAAATTTAAAGCCCCTCTTCCCCTACAGTAGCATATCTGTAACAACTTAGGTGAATCAAGCCATTTACATTAATCAATTATCATATTCTCAAGAATGTCTCGGGTAATGATAATGACTCACAAGTTGCGTTTGATAACAGGAGTGCATACTTTTCTCATGATGGGGCGGGGAGGAGAGGAGGAGCGTGGGAAGACTGACGCACCTTTCTGAAACCAACCCAACCCAACTAATTTTTTATGGTTTCTCATCGAGTTGAATGGCCGAGTGGTTAGCAGTGGCGCCACAAGATGTAGCCATAATATCGGCGCTGTTTCGAACGGCACGCTCGCCCATGGTTCTGGTGGTAGAACAAGTCTTCTCGGATAAGCACTATTTTTTATTTTATTCCTTTAAGCCAGAACCACAAAAAGCAATCAAAAAAGAAAGAGGAGGGCTGAGGAGAGGCAAAAGCGGTACAAAAACTATCACCGGATATGGTGTGCCCCTCCAGCTCCAAATTCAATATTATTAACTAATATAAATATTAATTGTATCAAAAATATAAAAATATTAAAAAATTAAATAATAAAAAAATTGAAACAGTTGGTGGAAAAACAATTAACAATCCCATGAACGAAATTGTCTAAAGTAATGTTTAATTTTCCCTTTGAAAGTGCCCTTCTTTCCTTTTGAAACCGTAGGCCATGCATACAATGGCTCGTGTGCACTATAAAGAACCCAGTACATCCTTCGAGACGAGTAGGGGATACCCCGGTGTACTGGAAAAGACAGCCCATGTAGTGGACGACGAGAGTTCCTGGTACCGGGTGACACAGACACGAAGGGACCCTTAGGGGAGAAGAAAGTCCACATATCAAGCGCCCTGAGCATTTTACATTAGATGAATATATGCGATATATATATAATATAATTATTAATATCATATATAAATTTATTGATATTGGTTTATATGAATATTGACGAGCGTCGGTTAATGTTGGCGACCTGATATATTATGTATTCTCAAGGAAAAAATGTTTCTGTACAAATTATAAGTTGTAAACATACTACCCTAGATTGGCGAAGAAAGCACCTCCGAGCATCTAGAAACAAATGTTTTCTAAAAAGTGGGGAAAGATGTTTGGTTTTAAAAGTCTGACGCCTACAAATTCGCACCATTCCATATCCAATTTCACTATTACAACTACAGCCAAAAAATGACACTTGCGTGGCGATCAGTGCGCAGTGCGGATAAGATTTATCCTATCGCTATAACATTATTAATCCAATCGAGGAAGGTTGGAACTTTTGTGTAGAAACCATATTTATCTTGTCGTCCACATCCTTCGCCCCAACTTACTAACCCGAACAAATACCATCTTCCTTCGTGCAAAATGGAGAATGGCCCCCCGCTGTCTCCCTGACAGGCGTCACTCGTTTCGCGTTCATAGCCAGCACAGAACATTGTACTTGTCACTGTATTTTTTGTAGATGATACGCACTTTCTGTGGCCGACCACGGGTACATAAACCTCATTCATATATTGTGGTATCGGGCCAGCTTCTCTTAGATACCCCCATCCGTTTACACGACCAAGACGGCGAGGTTTGAAAATGTTTGCAGTTATATTTTGTGTCGGTAGACATATAGGCCTCACGTAATCAGTAAAATTTAATATCGGCGTTCCCAGTTTAATCATTGCAATATCTGCGTTGAAGCTATCACTGTCAAAATCCTCGTGAATGAGGATCTTCTTAATTTTGTAAAACTTTTCTTCAGACTCTCTATAAAGAGAGTCATAGTCAGCCACGCGAATGAGGGTATTTCTCTTTTTGACTTTGAACAGACTATTCATACAATGTGCCGCCGTCACTATCCATTCAGAGTTTAGAATATTGCCTCCACAGAAATGCTTCTTTTGTCTGAAGTGGTATAAACGTACCATCCATGGTGCTGAACCTCTAACAGCATCTTTTCCGTTCACAATCCGAAAACTATCGTCCTCCCGATCTTCCTGATCTGCAATAGCATCGGTTGATGTGACAATTCCACATCCTGCGTAAAACATCATTTATAAATATTATTTAAGCTGTGTAATGCATGATATTCTTTTTATTTGTACTATTAATCAACTGACAAATAGGTCTAACTTAATTAAATAACTAACATAAAAACCTCAAAAATATTTTGGGAAGAACATTATCAAATCTGACCAAACTCACCATTAGACTGCTTCATAATATTAAGAAAAGCAAACGCTTCTTGGACCCGGATCACACCGTCTGCCATTACTATGCATGCATATCTACCGGCATCCTCAGTAGTGATTTTATTGACGATCAATCTCCCATCTGGCAACGTTAGTGTATGTTCGTCTGATTTTATGATATCATCATTCTTCTCCCACTTTATAGAATATGAGTCGTCTGACAGAGAACAGTTGAAAGTGTGGGTATCGCCACGGTTTAGTGTGACGTTACTTGGCTTTGTAGATAAGAGATCACCGACCGTCACATCTGGAAAATCGAATGTTATTAAAAAATCGAAAATCTAATAGGCCTATACTTGCAAATTTAAAGAGCTTTGTAAATTTTAATAAGTTATTAGGTTTAACAGTTTGAACTAAAAATGTATATTAGTTAAAGATTTTTCAAAATGAGTAATTCAAAGTTCTACATTTATTTGTTTTTTTTTCTTTTTATGTAAATACCTATTGCTAGTTATAACCTAATACTAGTAATTATTAGGCATTACTGATAATACGTAGATGAATTACTGATAATATGTAGATGAATAAACGATACAATAATAATTGATAATAATACAATAATTAATAATAAAAATAATTGATTTAATTACGTATGCTGTAATATAATGTTTTTTATCTTTCGTGAAATTTCTGTATTTTAACAGGCCTATTACTTTTATGTCTTGTGCTTATGCTTGATTAATGTTGCAGATTTTTTTAAATACATTTTCTTGTGAATATCATTCCGTTTCCATATTTAGGGGCTGAAACAGGTTAAATGACAAATGCATAGACTCAATAGACAATGTCGGTCTTTGGTTTCCGACGTTAACTCACCTATAAACATGGTCTGCTCTATGCTGATATTGTCTACTCCAGTAGCACGACAGGTATATATCCCTTGATGTCTGAAGGTCACCGACGATATGAGTAAAATTCCTTGTGGAAGGGCGAGTATGCCGTCGGTTGGAATACCTGTCAGATAAAAATATAAAAATCTTACTGGACATGTCTGCACTCTGCAGCTGCTGACTAGAGTTTTTTTACATAAGAGCCTGACTGTTTAGTTGTCGAAGTGTTCTCACGGAGTGTATTCTTGAATACTGATTGGTTCCCAATCTTGCATACTTTTAGTGTGCGCTTTAGCCAGGTAGCAGGGACCCACACATAATTTGCGTTGTCCTTCCCAAGCGCCCCCTACTAATATTTGCTGAGTAAACAAATTACCCCTAGGTCTCAGTAGTTATAAATATACTTAATATCACGTCATTCCCTAGGTCGCTCATTTCCATTCTTAGTTAAGTAGGCCTACGCCGTTGCTTACTTACATGCTGAAATTATGGAATGTAGTAGTAGTAGTAGTAGTAGAAGTAGACACAACGAAATGGACCTTTCCGCTAAGCCCCGCCCCTTGGATATTGTTGCTAAGGTCCCACAAGACGACAGTGTTCAAACATACGCGAACACGTGCGTTTTTAGGCCAACAGGTATGTTTGTAAGACGCGCGCGTATTTCTAGCGTTGTTCTGATTAGTCAGTTGTTAAGTTTGATTGACACTCCGGAAAGGTCTATTGAAGCATTTATAGATTTAAGCCCTGTCCAGAGACATGCCTAAATATGGTAATGATGAACATCATGAACATATAGACACATCATAACTATAAATGGGCAGAGTGTAGACAGAGCATTATTCACTGAGAGTAGGCATATATATTTTCAGAAAGACTACAAAATTACAGATTAGAACTAGTTTCGTGGGATTTATGCTAGTTTCCGAGGACATTTCCCCTTGTATTTTGCCATAGTACTAACAAACGAAATATTTTTAAAAAGTTTGAAGCATACCTTCCTGGAGAACTTCACCATCTCTCAACCAGGCGACCTGCGCCGAGGGGTCGCTCACAGTGCATGTCTCTGTCAACAGTTCTCCTACCTCCGCCGATTGATTTTGTGGAAAATCTAGAAACTTTAGTTGTATATTTATCTCTATGAAGATATACAAATATATAAATATTGGAGATGCAAACGTATAAATTAACATTACTGCTCGCTGTAATATTTATTTTATGTGTGTAAAGCGGATTTTATACAGACACATCCATTTTTCAAATTGAGTTACGCCTATGGTCAATTGTATATTAAAAAGTATGTTACAGGCGGTTAAAGTACAGTGTTGTAGCCTTGCTAACGGTTTTTTACTTGTTATCTTAATTCTTTTACTATTCTATATTATTGATATTCTGGCCAGGTACTACAGTACGTCTTAAACCAGCAGATATCTGGAGCTTGTCGCGGGTAGGCCTAGAGTTGCCCATGTGCTTATATACAACCTACTGTATTTTTATCCTCTACTCATCTACAGTAGTGTAGGTCAAAAAATTGACGAACACAAAAGCCACCAGGACAAAAATGGGGTATACCATTATGACAATGGGGTGTATAATATGTTCTCTTATATATATTTTTGTTTACAATCTAATTAATTACGATGGTGTGGTGATTGAATTTTTATGTGGTGTTTGGGGGTGAAAAAAAGGACTGACCTTGACATATCAGTTGACTGCCTGACCACGTTCCATCTTGCTGACAGATACGATGAAGAGTTCCTGCAACTTTCAAGTGACCGTCTCTACATTGGAATATGCAAACCGCATTAGGAACTGGGTCTAAGCACAGTACTTCTTCAACACCTGGAAGAACTGTCAACTCTGGACATCTTCTTTGCATAGCTGTGACGAATTGAGATAATTCGTTTTAATATTGAATAACCATTTTCTTGTTTCCAACTGCTATCTATTATTGTTTAACAATCACAATAGACCTAACCCATCTTAAAGATAGTACTGCCAAGTTTCCAGTGGCGTAGAAAAGTATTTTTCATTGGGGGGGGGGGAATGATTGGCGTGTTAGCCAGTGTCGTAACAGCCGAGATGTGTATAAGAGACAGGTGTATTCTTGAATACTGATCCCTCCCCTGACGGTTTTTACCGGGCTGACCAAGCCGTCGTACCGGACTGGGTAATAAGAGAAAAGAAAGAGGGGAGAGGGAGGGAAAGAAAAAGAAAAGGAAAGAAAAAGAAAAAGAGAAGATATCATTGACCAGACTCACAACACCCTGCAACCCCTTCTCCACTTCAAAAACTGTCATAACTCCTTTGATCTATGCTGCCCGATGGCGTAACCACTGGGGGACAAGGGGAAAATATCAATCTTTGAAAAATCTTCCCCACCCCTTTATAAATGCCCTTTTCATCCCTTGAAAGTGCCTAAAAACCTCAAATTTCGCGCGCATTTCTTGTTAACATGGGCCATTAGGGAGTTTTGATCAATTCCAACGAAATTAGAATTAAAAACACCGGGGGACAAGGGAAAAATATCCATCTTTGGAAAATCTTTCCTCACCCCTTGACAAATGCATCCTCTGAAAGTGCCTAAAATTCTCAAATTCTTTGCGCGCATTTTTTTTTGTTACGGTAGGCCAATTTCCTCTATAAATTGCAGATTTTAGAGAGTTTTTATCAATTTCGACGAAATTAGAATTAAAAACACAAAAATATTTTGCGCGCTTCGCGCGCATTTTTAGGTTTATCCTTTTTAAGTTATTTAAACACATAATAGTCCCAAACTCAAGAAAGACAAATTTAAGATAGATCGTTTTGACCTAAAAGAAGGGCCTCAATGTGTATTGATGGTGAAAGAATATGTTTGTAATAAATAAAACCATGATGAAAATGCTTATTAGTTTCAAACACACGTGTGTGGCCTTTATAAATAAGATAAGCCCTATGTCGTATTGTTTTCTATATGGAGAGTGGGGTGGGGTGGGTATGGTAAATTATAAACCGGGAAAATAATTACCCACTTTGACCCAACCCCTGTTACGCGCCTGGTGTTAGCGCCAACGTGTGCCCTTGTGCGGACAGGGGATGTGCCCCCTACTGAAGCTGGAAACCTTGTTTTTGCAAAATAAATTGATGCAATTTGCTATTATAGGCCTAATCAATACATTCCTCATCAACCGATATAACCTTAAACATTCTTGGAATTGACATAACATTAAAGATGTCGTACACACCCTTCAGTGTGAAATGTGGCTCTCTTTGCAAGCACATCTAACATCTAAGGAAAGAAGAGCTTAGATTGGTACCAGATAAAATAATTTTGTTATCAACATTAATACATATGCTAATTTTCATTTTTGTAAGCGCATAAGACAGTGAAAATTATTTCTGTGACAGTCTTTTGAAGTGTGTAAAGCTCCATTTTATCCCATACATAGTAAAAATATTGGGGATGATACAATGGACCACCCCCCTTGTCAAATATTGGGGGATATATCTCCCATCCCCCGGGATCTACGCTTATGCAAGTTTCAACGAAGAATATTGTCTATTCAGACATACAGTTTTGGAAACAGTAATATTATATATGCACCTGTTAATGGGTGACTGATTAAGTGTCAATCACCAATCAATAATAGATGAGTTGTAGTCTAAGTTAAATACTTACTAATGCAACCATTTCTGACTGGACAATAACAGCGGTTCAATGTTGGGCCTACGGTAGGATAAATATGTTTTTACCTGAGCAGGTAAGCTCTTGCCCGGACCAGGATCCATCGGACTGGCACACCCTAACTTGGTCGCCACTGACTTGATCACTTCCGGGTTGACATCGAAACGTGCATATTGATCGGAATGTGGATGGATGAGGACAGTGAACAGTTACACTAAAATCTGGCATAACCAACGCTGGACAAGTAGTATCTAAAAAGATTGTTTAGTGTAAAAAAGTTAGCTTTCTGTTTAATTATAAGATGTGTTCTTTCTATACATGCCATGTTGTTAAATATCCTGGTAGTTGCTTTAGTTGTTTATTTTTTAACCAATTTAAATAATTTTTAATTTTAAGTTTAAATTTAAATTGTTAAATTATTTTCTGTTAGTTTGGAAAAATATTACTACTACATTTATTGTAAGTATAAGTGTCTATTTCAAATGTATTGGAGCAATAAATTAAATTTTTCTCTAATTTTGGTATTTATAAGAACGTTATAACACGTGTTAGTAATAACAGACCATGGCATACTAAATCGTCGCCAGACCATCTCGCATCGAGTTGACATGTACGAGTCTCGTCACCGAGTACCCTCATATATCCCTCAGAACATTGGAAGTTACAGGCTTCTCCGGGTTTACTCAAACCATTGCAGCCACCCTCAGCGTTTTCTGGTGTTCGCAAACGTGGACAAAGTATTTCTACAAAAGAAACAAATGTGTGTTTTTTTTTTTAATTTTTCGTTTTATGTAATTATATACATCTCGTGTGAAATCTGAGAAAATGTTTAGCATTACGATCGTCTGCTACCACTACATGACGTCACTGCATGCTATAATTTTCCACATCTCTAGCCTGAAAATTTCAAATAAGTATAATACTTACCAATGCAAAGAAGTTCTATAAAACCACCCCATTCCCCTGATGGAAGGCAAGTAACCTTGTTGGTCGAGATAGTTGTATAACAGGCCCGTAGCCAGGGGGGTTTTTAGGGGTTCGGGCGAACCCCCCTTTTTCAGCGAACCCCCCTTTTGCCAGCGAACCCCCTTAACCAGAAAACGATCCCCCGTTTCCAAAATAGTGCAATTTATTACAAAATAGGAGCATTTTTGGCACTGTTTATTTGTCGCTATCGTTCGTAGTCCGATCGTAGAAATCAAAACAAAGCTGCAGCCAACTGCATGACGTAACCAGCAAGACTTCAAAATGAATATTAATGAGAGGTTTGTTGCCTAAGCTATTTGACCAGTCGCGTGCTCCGTAGTTTATTTACTTTGGCACGACGTCATCACAAAAGTTTGGGCGCTCGACATTTTTCATTTCTCTGGGATCGAGGACATGCGACACGCCAAAAATAGCCTAGGAGGAGGATGAAGCGCCGAGAAAGGATAGCCGATTTTTTTGCTTCAAGGCCAGCAACGAAGAAATCACGAAATTTAAGAAGTTAGAAAATTCACCCTTGTTTTCACCACATGCTCATGATACTGCCTGGCGGCGGGATCGGTGTACTTTTTCGGGCTGGGCGTAGGCCCTAGGTCTCTAGGTAGGGTAGGGTCGTAGCCTATGAGGCCTATTATTTGCGAACGATTTTATTATTTATTTTGTAATCGAGCTAGCATAGGCCAGGGCCTAGGCTAGCAAGGAAATATACTTTACCAATCAATAATAGATGAGTTGTAGTCTAAGTTAAATACTTACTAATGCAACCATTTCTGAATGGACAATAACAGCGGTTCAAAGTTGGGCCTACGGTAGGATAAATATGTTTTTACCTGAGCAGGTAAGCTCTTGCCCGGACCAGGATCCATCGGACTGGCACACCCTAACTTGGTCGCCACTGACTTGATCACTTCCGGGTTGACATCGAAACGTGCATATTGATCGGAATGTGGATGGATGAGGACAGTGAACAGTTACACTAAAATCTGGCATAACCAACGCTGGACAAGTAGTATCTAAAAAGATTGTTTAGTGTAAAAAAGTTAGCTTTCTGTTTAATTATAAGATGTGTTCTTTCTATACATGCCATGTTGTTAAATATCCTGGTAGTTGCTTTAGTTGTTTATTTTTTAACCAATTTAAATAATTTTTAATTTTAAGTTTAAATTTAAATTGTTCAATTATTTTCTGTTAGTTTGGAAAAATATTACTACTACATTTTTTGTAAGTATAAGTGTCTATTTCAAATGTATTGGAGCAATAAATTAAATTTTTCTCTAATTTTGGTATTTATAAGAACGTTATAACACGTGTTAGTAATAACAGACCATGGCATACTAAATCGTCGCCAGACCATCTCGCATCGAGTTGACACGTACGAGTCTCGTCACCGATTACCCTCATATATCCCTCAGAACATTGGAAGTTACAGGCTTCTCCGGGTTTACTCAAAAAAATGCAGCCACCCTCAGTGTTTTCTGGAGTTCGCAAACGTGGACAAAGTATTTCTACAAAAGAAACATATGTGTTTTTTTCAATTTTTTCGTTTTATGTAATTATATACATCTTGTGTGAAATCTGAGAAAATGTTTAGCATTATGATCGTCTGCCACCACTACCTGACGTCACTGCATGCTATAATTTTCCACATCTCTAGCCTGGAAATTTCAAATAAGTATAATACTTACCAATGCAAAGAAGTTCTATAAAACCACCCCATTCCCCTGATGGAAGGCAAGTAACCTTGTTGATCGAGATAGTTCTATAACCAGCTGAACAAACTATTGAGCACGTTGAACCAGGAGATCTGTCACAACCTGTAGTTCTTCCATTTGGTATTGCAACAGGGCACTTTAATTCTATAACATTTAGAAAAAGCATTAGCTATCATGTAATTCTCTCAATGATTTGACCTACGTCAGCTTCAATAATAATAGACTTGTATATCCCGAGGAAAATTCCCGACTACAGCAAATAAAACTACAACTGCTAATAAATCTGTATGTAACCAAGCTTAATGAAGTTCACAATAATATAACGACAGTATTTATTTTGCCGGTAGCATACCTATTCGTTCACAAAGCATTTTTGTGATTATTATTAGTGAGGACGACGCACTCTAATTCTCACCTTGTGGATAGGCAAATTCGAGTTTTAGCCGGCAAAATAAATACTTTGCAATAAAAAAAACGATTTAGCCAGTTATGCCACTCCATTACTTGCAAATCTAAAACTAGTTAACAATCTAAGGACATATAGAGCTATATGCCTATACCTACCTGAATTTCCCACCTGTATACAGGACATGCCATCAAGGGTACTTCCTGTGGGACAGGCGCACTTTCGTCCTTTAGGTATTGCTAGGCAGAGTTTACTACATCCACCATTATGTATAGTGCAAAATGTTTCACCTAAAATGGTGAACAATATTATGAAAAAAAATGTCACCAACCATTGAAGTTTTTCTATCAATATTATAAACATGCACTAAATATCAGTTGGCTGTCTATTTGATATTTTTCAAATCAAAAAAGTTGGAAGACGTACTGGACGCAATTCCGACATATTACAAATCGCATAGTTACCAACCTGAAATATTTAAAATGTGTGATTTGAAATGGGGGCAGGGGCCAGCAGAGCCCCCGCTGGGTGGGGTTACGGGGGAAAATCCCCCTTCGTTCCGACGATCTGAGCTTTTTAAGCTGTTTTTAGGGAGTGTTTATTGACAATACCGAGTACATAAACAAAAATATATTTAATAAAGCCACGTACAATTGAACTTTCAATGTATGTTTAATTGGAGTACCAGAACTATGTATACAAATATTCATTACTCTAACAAACAAAAAAATGAATAGGCTGCGGTGGTGAGCCTTTCCTGTCATTCGACACTATTTCCACCCCTCCAGCCAACTCAACATTTTTTTTTTTTGAGTTGGGCTCACGGGCCAAGGATAATATTCGAGTTCCTATTAATTAAGCAACTCGCTGTGAAGTTTTTGGTAATTTCAAATTCTACTTTTTGTTGTGCTACACAACAATTATGGTAACAAATTCTGTATTCTGTATGAAAAGAATACATAATTATCAACATTCCGTTCACACCCTAGTTGGGTTAAGCAATAAGAAATTGCATTCGGTGTATAATAAACGTTAGAGTAACATAAAAATTAATAATATATATAATATGCATACTTTATAAAACATAAATTAACCTAATGTTCTGATAGATTAACAAATTTAATAACATTAATTGCATGAAATATATTTAATGGTATAGGCATGTTTGCCACCATCAACCGTAACAGATAATTTGAAATAAAGTAGGCGTATCGTAGAAGAGAATCTCTATTAGGCACTGACCTCAAAGGTTACTGTAGAAGTACACAAAATTCATATTGTTTCCGCTACTTGCCAGAGTATCTTGATTTGTTGATGCAGAGAAATATGGGTATATACAACGACTAGATAATAGGTGTGATATCGAAATTCCAAAAGAGGAAACATGTTATAAAGTTTTCTTTCCTCTATTTCTTATGTTAACCCGGATTTAAACTTTTCAAAACGTTCCTACAATGTGTATTTAGGCTTCATCAGTACTGTATTGCGATAGTCAGTTGATTGAATAACGCTTTTGTATCATCGGCACACCTTTTTAGTGTAACCTTACAACGATTAGACATATTAATTTATATAAAGAAAACACAAAATAAAAAATTAATAGGTTCTCTGCCTTATAAAGTATAATGCGTCAAACCCCCTCGATATTGAGTATACTAAATTAAAAAATCTTCCCAGGCTTTTCCAGATATAGCTAGAACTAACTTATTCTTTTGCGTTTTTTGATAGTAGATTAACTACTTTTTAGATTTCAGTGGGTTAACCCGACTCAAAAGACAAGCTTCCGTACCTAACATGCACATTTTTATCCTCTATACAATAGGAGACATGTTTACATGCGTGGTCTTTCCTTAAAATTAAAAATCAAAATTTAAAAGTAAATAGACATTTTGAAAACAAGGACAAAAAAATAATTTCTCCCAAAGTACAGAAACTGACTGAGTGCGTGTGTTTGATGCTAACTGACAACTGCAGTTTCAGTCACATAATCAACGGTTGGTTGTGACAATCAATGCGCCTAGCTTCAAGCTCTCGGTGAATTAAATGTCAAACGAGATAACGAAAGCTCTCTAATAACTCAAGTTACTGCATGATTGTTTTATATTTTAAATTATAACTAATTTATTCTAATTTCAAATACATTTTCCCTGAATTCGTGATTATTCGTCATCACGCCTAGACTTGTAATAAATGCGTGACAAATTTAATATCCCGCATGTGTTTCTGCCAAATGCGTGTTACATCCAAAATCACTTTGAAATGTGGGACCCTCCAGCACGATGCAAGACGGTTGGTAACTATGAACTCGTAGACCTTAGCAAAATATAGGAACACGCCAGTTGAATATGAAGCCTGACAGGCTTAGAAATTTTAGTTGATCAAAGACATTTATTGTCACATACAAATATGTATATTTGAGGATGCACGAAAGTTGTGAATAAAAAACAGACCTAAACAGGCCTCCCAATATAGAGCGTCTGTTTTATATGCGTGTATTTTGAATCCACCCATGAGGTTTTATTTATATTAAACAATGTTTCTCAAGAATTCAGTTTGTTAGTAAAAAGTGGATTTGATGCACACAAGTCATGCTACTTGGTTCAAAATTCTAAATCGGTCTTACCATTTTGAACGTCGTCTGAATTGAACAATGCCAGGCCATTTAGTCTCCCAAAGTCAGCGGCTCCGATCGTAACCGGTTCGCTTCCTACAGCTTTGCTCATGCGCATTAGACTTTTTTCGTTCCAGTTCGTAAAGTAAATATATTGATCGCTGACCAAGAGGCTATGGGTATGTACGGCGACCTTAAGTTGCTTAATCAATGTACGTTGCGAACCATCAAATTTTATCATTTCAATTCTGTCGGTTCTAGCATCACACCAATAAATTGACTGATCTATTAAGCAAATAAAAAAGTTAGTTATTAAGTGTGACCGATATTGTGTTTTCTTTTTACACTTTAATATGGTAGAGATAAGAAAAGCTAAAATTGCTATTTGGTAAATACTATTACATTTCACTCGAAATTACTCAAGGAAATACGCTATTTCGTAGTATGAATTGCGCATGCCCGTATCTAAGGTTAATCAGCATAAACCTATGCTGTGTGTATGTGGTGTAATGTTGACCTTGATATAGGCATGCGCAATTCACACTACAAAATGGCTGGTTCGGAACGACGGTAGGTTGCAGATACCTGGATACCATGTGAACATTATGCAGGATTAAGACATTATCCTATATTATTATAGGATGATTATAGGATAATATCGTAGGAGTAAACTTCAAGTAACAAAAGCCTAATATAATTGCTTACCATTAGTGTCTATTGCCAGTCCGTTAGGCCAACCAATTTCCGTATCAACAAGAACACGCCGGTTAGTCCCATCCATCCATGAACATTCAATCTTTGGAGTAGTTCCCCAGTCAGTCCAGAAAAGGAATCTATGGAACAATACATATAGGAAAACGTGCTTTAAAATGTACTTATTGAAATAAATAATACTTTAAACAAGGTGAAATTTATCGAATCATAAAATATATATAGGCCTATAAGAATATTAGAAAATAACACCAACATACGTAAATTATTGTATATAGCTGAATAGGCATAGGCCTATAGTCGGCAGCAAATAAGATTCGAAATACAATCTGCTGTATACTGTATAAGATTTACCGTTACCGTACCCTCTCACTGGATCAATGGTGATAGCCCTTGGTTTTTCTATGCCAGTATCAATTAGAATCTTGCTGTTTGTACCATTTAATGTAGACACTCGAATGGTGCCATTAATGCCATCGGTCCAGAACAACAATCTGTTGATATGGTCTACCGCTAAACCATCAGGAACTAACAAAAATAAATGGTATACATTGAAGTGTATCTCATTAAACATAGAGCGATTTGTTATCAACACTATAAAAAAAAAGGACGACTTTAGTCAGGACTATCACGGAAACAACGAATTTAGCTAACTACTGTATCAACCACACTACCGCAATCAGCAATGAAAACAACAATACAAACAAATACGATAGCCTTTACTTTGGATGCGGTTGATTAACTACTGATTGATTCTACGAACCATGTACATTGTCATGAATAACTATGTAATCTTTGGCAGCAAGTGATGATCTCAGTATCCGATGGGCATCGACGTCACTAACATACACCTGTTTATCGACTGGATCAAATCCAACTGCAACCGGGTTCTGGAAAGGGCCCATTGGCAGCGCCGTGTAAGCGTAATCTCTGTCATTGCTTAAGTCGACTTGAAAAATAGTCTTAAGTCCTGAGTCAGCCATCAATAAGAAGTTGTCTTCAACAATATCTATTTGAAATAAAACCCATCAAAATATAATATTGTTTACCGAACAATGCTCTATTAATACATGAATAATTATGACATTATGTACGGCTTTACACGATAAAAAAAAATACGCACAGGCCTATACAGTGTTTGCAAAGTCTAACAAAATTACTGTGAATTCAGACTATTCAAGTTACACGATGTATTCTTCCGCCTAATGAAATGTAGGCCTAAACGTCCTGAAATACTGTACTCACACTTGATTACAAGCAGCGTATAATCTAGACAATGTTGCTGTCGATCATAAAGTGAATTTTGACTGTTATTATTTACAAATATTTTAACGATTAATAATAAACAAATGTAGACATTCTATTATTTAAATTAACTGCACTTTTAGGAAAATTTTAAAATTAGTAAATTAAAATAAATTATTTCTATAATGAATTGTAAATATTCCTTAACAATTATTTTGTTTTTATCTTTTTAGATTTCCCACCCCCACCCTAATTAATGTGAAAAAGCTTATCGATCATGTTGTTAATAATTGTTTCTATCTCATTCTTTTAAAAATTATTTAAATGTTTAAATTGTAATCCTAAATACCACATTTTTAATACCTGGTTTATAGCTCTTAGTTATACCTACGACAACTAGAAAAAAACCTAGCAAAACCCGGGTCACACCAACATGGAAATAAAATGACTCGGAAGGAGGGGTGGGGGCTGCTTGATACAAAATGAACTAGCAGCATTTACTCACTATTTTCACATTCACCGTCTTCTCCTAATGTGTAGCCTACAGAACAAAGACAAGTTGTGTCGGCACCCAATCCTGGAATGCAGATTTGATCACAGCCACCGTTGTTGATCATACACGGGCCTGAAAAATTCAAAGAATCATACATTAAATGTATTCAATGGTCCCAAACGATAATAAGGAGACACATTAGTAGGCCTAATACTATACGGCTCGAACCAATACTTTTCAAAGTGCCGAGCACAATTGATGTTTATGTTGTCAAGTCGACATAATATACGTATCATGTCGACATGGCGAGATAGATTATCTTGACATGTCGACATACTAAAAATGTTTTGTTGTCATGACGAGTCAAGTCGACATAATAAAAGTTGTATGTTATCATGGTGAGATAAATTATCTTGACAAGTCGACATAGTAAAAATGTTATGTTGTCATGGCGAGATAGATTATCTTTATATCTATATAAATTTAGAAATTAAAAGAAATTACTTAATTTGTATATTTAAATACTTCAATAGATTTTAACTGAAAATAAGGAGGAAAATGATTTGACGATTAACCGACGTTTAAGAAATACCATTCATATAATCTTCACACAAACCCTTAAATTTCTATTAGCAAATTAAAGGATTTTTGTAGTAAAATGTCTGCAACTAATTTAAAGCTATTCTACTGATTGACTGAATGTTTGATTGACTGATCTGAAAGTTTAAAGGATTTGAGGACTTTATGGTGGGCAGTATCATAACAAAATCATTGAGGGCTGCTTACTGTCGCCATCGGGTTGTCGTGTAGCATCTAGAGTGCTAATTCCAAACGCTTTTCCAGTGTAAGGCAGAGAACGCACAAACTCTCCCGTCTCTCTATTCATAACATGCAGGCCATTGTTTGGTGGCCATTCTGTCCAAACCAAGAAATCCTTAATAAATAAGATTCAGCGAATTAGGTGAAATATAAAAACAAGACTGCTGAAACACAACATTGTCTCAAGTAAATTTCGGCCACAGCTATGTTATGTTTTTCAAGTCGGCACCGTTTTTATCTTAATTTCGTTTATTTTACTATTAATTAAATTTAAATTTATTTTTTAAATATATATGCCAGATGGTTAACAATTAATGATTCTTGAATTCCACAGTAGGTGAAATATAAAAACAAGACTGCTGAAACACAACATTGTCTCAAGTAAATTTCGGCCACAGCTATGTTATGTTTTTCAAGTCGGCACCGTTTTTATCTTAATTTCGTTTATTTTACTATTAATTAAATTTAAATTTATTTTTTAAATATATATGCCAGATGGTTAACAATTAATGATTCTTGAATTCCACAGTATACAAGATCGACTATTTTTAACACGTACAATTATGTTTACACAGCATCTAGTAAACAATTTAATGTTGTAATAACCTTAAAGATTGGTGTACGTTTTTTTAGAACCATAAATAAATATATTACGTAATTTCTGACTAGATAGTGATGCTAAGGTTTCAGCAACGTTGTGTTTACGTCATTTTCTGACATATTCTTACCACAACGTTCACGAATGTTATACAGTAATAACGTTTGTTTGCAGGGCTAAAATAATCACTAAACATGGCAATTTCTCTATTAAACAAAAAACATAGATGTTACAAAATGATTGCGTGTATACCTGAAATATATCCATGTCAAAATAGAGGGCGCCCGGTTTAACGTCTTCTACTTTCCTTGACTCTCCGTCATAATCAACCGACTGAATAGCACCGGACGATCTATCAGCAAAGTATAACCTAGAAATGCAATGAACCAGAATCTGATTAATATATCAAAAGGAATACTCATTATCAAAATTTTAAAATTATCAAAATATTAGGCCAACTTCTGTCATTTTATAGTCCACAGTACTTCCACGCTCATTTGTGATTTCCAGCGGCATTTAATCAATCATCCAGCGAAACAGAAAAATAATAAAAACAAAGTCATGTGTTTGCAGAGTTATAATAATAAAAACAACAACAACAACAATAATAACTGTCTCTTATACACATCTAGATGTGTATAAGAGACAGAACCGATACTTTTCAAAGTGTATTCCACTAGCTGCACCCAACCGAGTGTTTACAATCATTTTCCTGTCACTTCCATTAAGTCTAGCTCGCTCAATCTGTGGTTGCGATCCAAGTTCCAGCCAAAACATCCACCTGAATAAAATAAAGTTAATTTAATAAAATCTAAAATAGTAAACATAATAACAAAAACAACAACAACAACAATAACAATAGCAATAACAATAATAATAATAATGATAATAATAATAATAATAACAAATATCATAGGCATAGAGTACAGTTGAAATAATGAATTAGTGAATTCTAAAAAGATATTATTTATCACCTAAAAAAACAAGGGTAAACTAAGTTATCAAAAGATATTCATTTAATTTAATTTATTTCGCCAAATAACTTTAAAATACACACAGAGGCCTAAAGGATAAAAATGCAGAAAGGACAAAACAATATCATTGTCGGTAACAGGATAAACAAAAAGCAAACTCCGACAATGTTATAACAGTAACATTCAAAACAAATATAAAAATATAATATATGTAAAAATAGATATAAAAGCATCTTGCGATTATAGGATAAATTTATTTATTTACAACGCCAACCCGTGCGATTAGGTCACGGGAAACAAAAACCAAACCAGACCAGACCGTTGATAAGATACCTGCGAATAGTCTGCATATTACATCGAGACGAACATCAATACTCAGTGGCCAGAAACAATGCCACTGTGTTTGGCTTTTCTGGCAACGCCCCATCCTTACAGAGACTGAATAATGGGTTTTGCATTAGCCATTTCACACCCAGTCTCAGCCCTTGTTTAGTTTTTCCACCTATAATCAGCAAGTCTCACTATCCAATCATATAATTCAATTCAAGTTCTTTTTTGGTTAATTCATCAAAAAACATACTTGATAAAATTAACATAGAGAAATGATAAAAGAACAACAGCAACAAAAGTACGGTAATATATAAAAAAGAAACGATAAAAATAAATTAATATTAGACGTAAGTATTTCCCTGTTTCTCTTCCACTGATGACGATTGAATCAATCGAAACGTCAAGACATTCTCAACAAAAACAACAGTTCTTCTCAGAACAATATATGTGGTGTACCGATAGTATTTAATATATAATTAATGTTCATAAAGAATTGTTTACAAAAAATGTAGGAATCTAATAAACCTGAATTAGCTTCAAAGATTGCGTTCCGTAATTATTGTTGGTAAGATATCAAAGCGTTGGTTGTCTTAATGGCCAATGGCTTTGTGTTTGTATAGCGCATATTATAAAATTGGTCTCTAAGCGATTTCCATGACAACAGAAAAGAACAAAACCAGAATAAATGGTTGCAACGGAAAAGAAAACGTACCGTTGAATCGGATCCACGGCAATACTTCGAGGTTGCACTATAGCAGTATCTATTAGAACGAGGCGGTACCTCCCATCGTACGAAGAGGCCATGATATGCTGTTTTGTAGAATCGGTCCAGTACAAGGTTTGTGAAAGGTAATCAACAGCTATTCCTGTTGAGAAAAAATACACAAAACCGTATTGTATTCAAATATGAATATTATTTATTCATATTTAGGCCCCTCTCAAAATTACATTGTATGACGTAAGATGTCATTATAGCTAACTTTTCTACAATTTCATGGGCACGCCGACTTGGTCGATTTCTAGTCTTGAACACAGCGTAGAATAGTGCTGTACGTAATTAATCCTATGCACTTCGAAGACGGAGTCGGTAAATGGACTTTACCGGAGTGTCAATCAAATTTAAGTACTGACCAATCAGAACAACGCTAAGATTGCACACTTGTCCCACAAACGCACGTGTGCCCCATAAACGCAAGTGTTCACGTACGTTTATGCTTTCTTAGTGTTGGACCTTAGAAAAATATTCAAGGGGCGGGGCTTAGAGGAAATGTCCTTTGATGAAACTGGGCATGTGTGCATAATTAAACAGATTCAGATGATTAGGCACACACTGCGTTGAGGGTCGTCGGTCGACGCGTTTGCGCAACGGATCGTTCTTAATGACGATCCTCTTTGGCTGCCGCTGACAATCAACAGACGGTGGCGTCACGTCGTTAAACGATCACATAGAGCGGAGATACAGTAAACCCCTCAGGGACAGTCATACGGTGTATCGTATTCGTATAGTGTGGTCGGCTTAAGACGCACCGTTTAAGATATGATTTTGATTTCCCATCATACCAAGACGGAGAATTTAAAAATACTTAAATAACGATGCTTAGCTTACCTTGTACTGATCCCAACTGTCCAGCAACTACTTTACGTTTACCTCCATTCTTTAATTCTAAACTGAACACTGACCTGGTAACTACATCAGAAAAGAACAGAAGACGGCGTGCCACGTCCACTTGCAGGGCCACAACGAAACGCTGGTTGTTAAGGAAGCCATCAACAGTAAAGTCATTTGGATAGGCGGTATTGGGAAAGTTAGAAGGTAGCTTACCAATGGATGTTTGGTTTGAGAAAAGAAAAAGTGGTGTGCCGATAAAATCACCTAGAAAGAGGGATTAAAAAGCAAAGATAATAGACTTAAGTTAGACTTAAAAAAATATTTTTTTATGATGAGAATGAAAATTTTCTCATTTATCGACATTGATTTACAAAGATTTAATAGAGAATACAGTAACTGTCTATTGCCATAAGGGAATCTCTTTCTCAAGACACAAGATGCTAAGTTACAGTCCCAACTCCAATCCCATCCTCCACTGTACTGCAAACATACTTGAACGATGGAATAATCCAGGTAAAACGTAGCTTTACGGCACGAGTGATAAGTTGTGGAATTTCGCAGACGTACCAGTATTGCTTACCTTTTTGGCAGGTTTTTCCATCAGGTAACAGAAAATACGAGTCTCTGCACACGCACGTGTAGTTATTTTCACCACTGGTGCATATTTGTGAGCAAGGGTTAGTCAAACACGGGGCTATGAAATAAAAGAATTCATTATAATATTATAATGCTTTATGCTACGTTCGCAATATTTAAAATATAAAATACATAAATAAAATAGAGAAAGAGAATCAGAAAAGTAAAAATAGAAGAAAACTCATTTTGCATCTTGTTATATTCATTTTGCCGTTTTTTTTTAAATTTAAATTGCTGCTGTATTTCAGCGACAGCAGCTACAGGGGTGGTATCAGCGACTGTTGATATTCTTTATCCATGTATTGCATTATATTGTGCATTTAACCTTTTGATTTATGTACGGCGCTTTGGTCATTTGGAAAAATGTCATGTATTATTATAATTAAGTCATAGAATTTGTCAGATTCAATGATGGAAATTAGAAAAAGATCTGTCAAACAGGCTATACCAATCATGTCGGTACTGTTGTGATGTTGTCACGGAAAATTCAGTTTCTCATTTTTCTTACATGGTTGAATTTCTTGATCACCATCTCCATACACCGTCACACCATGAGGACGAGATTTAAGGTTTAAGCTGAAGTAGACAGCACCAGAAGTTTTAAAAACACACCATAACTTGCGATTCCAATCGGTTATGTACACATAATCCTAAAGAGTGATGTTAACATTAGAGAGATATTAAATGATATGCTATAGGCTACTATTCATTATCATTATCATATATTATCATTTCTGTTGTCATCGCCATTTCTCCGGGTCATTGTGATTGTTACTGCCATTGCCATCATCATTATTGTCATTATTTCTCGTAATGAGACTAGTTATTAAAGCCCCATTCCCGGCAAAATTTCACAAAAAAATTGACTTTTTTAGAAAATATGCATTTGCATTACTCCAATTATTATAAATCATGGAAAAATATTGGCATGAATTTTAGTTTTACGAAAAAGAATAAAAAAAATGAGAAATACAGACTATTTCTCATAAAATATTACCATTTTCTCGACGAATTCATCGTTACTAGGCAAATTCAGAGGTTGTAGATCGCATCCACTGGAATACTCTTGCTTTCATGTATACTTTATACAGTCAATAAAGTGCGCCCTCTCTAGTGAGATTAGTTTTTTTACTTCGCATCTCGCGCAATGCGTTCGTTCGTTTAGGTTGAGATATGTTTGTTTAAGTGTCAAAATCTCAGTCAGAATCAGTTTTTTAACAAATTTGAAATAATTCCTATGAAATATTATATTCACAAGTGTCAATACTAGCAACGGAAAATATCATGTCGGCCGTTTTTATGTATGATAACAGAACCTAAATCGAGGTAAGGCTAGGCCTAGCAGTGTTGGATAGGCTAATGTTTTCGGCGCCTACGATATTTCCTCTCACGACCTGTCGCAAAATCAAACACGAAAATTCATCCGCATTTATTTTTTGTGTGGAACACAAAAAATCAAATTT